ATTCATAGTCTTCAGCAGCTTTGGTCTCCAATTAGAACAATAAAAAAAAAAGACATTTGTTAATTTGGGACAACAGAAAAGTGGTCTTTAATTGGAGGTGGTCTAACTAATATTATATACAAATATTCAACAATATTTATCTTAAGTAAAGATGTAAGATTATATACAAATCAGAGCGTGTATATACAAGTAATATAAGTATACTAATACGGCTACTTTAAGTTAAAAGTACACAAGGAAAATAGTTGTGTGATTATGAGTATGATAGGTTGACTCTTCTTCAAGATTCAGCCAATCAGAACTCGCCAGATGATTTAACAACATGTGATTAAATTGGCCTAGTAATTTCCAACACTTGTGTTTGCTCGACAAATAGACATATACGTCTGGGACAAGATGCTGCCCTGATATGCACATAGTTATCAGCCGGTATTTGGCCTAAAGCCGACTAGTTACATCAAGTTTATCAATTTTATCGATATGCTTTTGTCCAATATTGTGTTTGGAATTGCCGGTGCGTATGAAGTGGTCCGACCACGCAACAATATATACCATAGACCTCGAACTTTACCGATAAGCGAGATCTACTAAAAAGAGACAATAGGCGGGTCTGGGGATTTTTGCGAATTCTCAATAATCATGTGATATATCCGAGTGGCTGATCAAGGAATTCAAAATTGCAGGACCCATAAGCAGTGACGTATCTAGAAGTCTTGAAATGGGGGTGCTGATAGAAGGGGGTTGGGGCGAAGGTGAAGGTGGGTGGGGGATTCAATGACCAGTTGAAGGGCGCTAACTCGCAAAATTAAGGTAATTTTAGGTGATATTTAACTACTTGACTGTGATTTTTTTGGAGAAGGAAACTGGGGGAGGGGGCGCGAGTAATTAATTTAGAAGGACCTGCGCCCCCTGCACCTCCTAGATACGCTACTGCCTATAAGAATTTTAACAGATGAGGGTAGAAAACTACCTTAACCCCACACTGATTGGGGCTGAGGTACAGGATGCTTAGGCTATGGCATGATTTGCCAGAAAATATAAGGTTTATTACAATTTTGTTATATGTCTTTATTTTTAACTTTAACAAATTTAGAGCCACATTAAATCGGCAAAAATAGCATAGAAATAAAGCGATTTTATGTGATAACTGTTACTTTGTTGTTGTTTTGCTAGCGCTTCTTGCCGTTATACTAAGTGCATATGAGAGTGATCAATTTACACTTGTGGTGTAATGTAACTTGGTGCGGCGCCCGACGGGGGGATCCGAGGTCCCCGAAGAGGGGGAAGATTTCGCCGACGGGAGAAAAGTAAGCATGGTCGAACGTCGCTTAATATGTTTTTAAAGAGTTCCAGGGGAAAAGCCCCTCGAAACTTCAACAATTTAGGGGTTTCAAAGGCTCATTTAATCGATTTTATAGTCTAATTATATGTAGGAAATACATGATATTTTTCCCCTGACGAATTGTGGTTTTTCTTCCCGACAGAGGGGGCGAGAGGGGGGCTGCCCCTCCCCGCTCCCTCCCCCGTGCAACCCCTGAACGTATACGGTAAACACTGACTGTGCATTCCCCGCCGGGCATGGGCTTGGGGATTCACCCTATTTTACACATGAAAGTTAGATTCCACTATAACGCTATAACTTCTATGTTTTTCCACTCCCTAAAAAATTCAGTCACTGGAGACCTAATTAATACAAATATTAAAAATAACTATTGGCTTAATGTTTATTTTGCACATTTTTTTATATAATATATATATATATATATATATATATATTATATGTATTATATATATGTGTATATATATATATATATATATATATATACACACACACACACACACACATTTGTGAGAATATCAGTTGCTTTAATCAGATTTAAATTCCCAACAACGCCTCGGTGGCCCAGTTGATTATAGGCATCTGCATAGACAGCAGAAGGTCTAGGGTTCGAATCCTGGTTGGGGGAAACTGCTTTTTCACGCTCGCTTAAATATCTGTCTCTTATACACCCGTGTATATTTGCGCTATACAAATACTTTAATCAATTGGTTGATTAATATATATGTAATATATAAACAAGTTCTAAACCGTCTTCTTGCAAGATTACAAGACTACTGAATATCAGTGAGTAGACCTAGGCCTATTATATACATTGTAAACCTAGAAGAGGAATCTGCTAAATAATACAGCATGATATACGGTATACCGTAGTGTTGCAAGATATATTATGATAACTTAGTTTGTATCTATATCTAAGCTTTTTATACTTTTGTTAAGGGAAATATTTTTCTCTTACCTTTGCCAAGTCGTAATTTATTTTTCTATGCTAGCTTTTTTTTTCTGTTTCTTTTTCTGTATTTATGACATTGTACCGTCTATTTATATCAGGCACAAATCAACACGTGTATATTGAGCGTATGATTCTTCCCATTTCTATTTGCTTGAGAGAAATATGTGATTAACAGAAATATAATTTGATATGAATTATTATCATTATCATTATTATTATTATGAATATCTCTTTATTTGTTAATATTTGTCCATATAATATCGATATTGAAATATAAGTATAACAATGTATAACATACTGTATCAAGAAAATAAAATACATAAACAGATATATGATTATTCGACTGTTTGTTTGGTTTTTTTTTCACTTTAATCATCATTATAATTGTATCAAATATCTCCCAAGGTGGTCTCTCGCCCGATACTTGTACTGTGTACGATTAAAAACGACAAAACTGGTGGCAGTGTTATAGGTTGCAATGATAACATTGACAGTCATGATCCGCGTGGACACTATATTCTTCTATTCTGACTAAAACGTCAGTTGTCATGGTGAACGGTTTTCGAACGAATCATGGATCTTCTGGCCCTTGAGGTTTACAACATGCAAAGGGGCCACGTTGATTTTTGCAGCCCTGTCTTTATTCTAATTCTTCGTGTTGTAATCTCGTACTTTCTTTGTTTACTTCGGTTGATATTGTAATATATAGGCCTGGATATTATTGCACATAGGCCTAATATATTTGTATATGTGAATATATGTATACCAGGGGTGGGCATAAAAATCGGTAGGAGGGCCAAAGTGAATTTCTGATTTAACACCGAGGGCCGCACCCAAACATTAATCTTTCCAGTGCGCTTCTAAGAACCTCTAAGCACTGCTTTTACACCACTTTATCTCAGTTTTAATATTACTTTTTACTGGGTCAGGCCGTAAAAGACAAAACCCACATCGCCTATAACCCCCTCAACGTGTGTAGTATTCTAGCTTAACCGATCAGATAATAAATAATAACAACTGTATTTATTTTCTTCTCATATTAAACAGTATAAACATAGGGCCTCAATTTTTTTTACATGTATTTATTCAAAATATAGTAAAGAATATGGTAGTAATTGGATTTATTATGATGAAGGTTCTCACAGATATCCACAGAACTTGTTTTAGAATCAACCGAAATTTAATCAAAATATTAGCTGACAGAAAGTTAACGGAAACGAGAATACCACAAGGGACAATAATATAAGTATTCATAGATGTATATTTAAACATTAAAAAATACTGAAATACAACGCATGTAAATTTTAATCGTACAGTAAGCAAGGGTAAAAATAGTTGTCCCAAACAGGAAGGGAAACTTTTAGAGACGCTTAACTGTATTCCGATCTATTACGCATTGAACAGTATTATTATAATGTTTTATTGATAAGACAACACAACACTGTATAAATTAAATGATACTAATAGTGATTTTAATAACACATGATGGGCATGTTTGTAAATAACGTTGACAAGTTCATATCCCTTTGTTATTACCGAGCTATTACTATAGGCTACATCAGCAAATATGGCGTTTAGGTGACTTATAATAGAAAAGGAATGGCGCCCCCTTTGCATAACTGGCGCATTAGTAAAATAAAATGTACCTATGTAGATGCATTTATATACTGTAGTGCATTATGCAATCGATAGACCGTCTCTAATAATAAATAAGATAATCGAAATAACACTTAAATGAAAAGAATTGAAAATCCCCAAAGAAAATAATTGACGATAATTGAAATCGGGTAAGCTGTTCCACAGCTTTGACAAGACGTTTTTAAATACTTTGTTTAGCGAAAATATTTTTTCGTCAGAGGAGGGTAAATATAAAAATAAAATTTGGTTTTCTTATTTGGCAATATCATTTTGCCAAAAGCATCCAGGCGTAGTAGTAAATATAAATAATTATTTATGAATGCAAACAGTGTAGCATTGAGAGTGACAAATAGTGCTTTCAATTTCTTATAATAATGGAAGAAATTCATATACCTTAATTTTTGAGATTTAAAATGAAATAAAAATGAATATTTTTTAAAAAAAATATACATTTTTCATTAAAATTTTATTTTTATTCAAAATCCCATTGCACTTTATGAAACGTGTAGGCTTGACACCTTGAACTCTGATGATTAGTGTCCAAAATATATTACAAACTCATAACATATAATAATGAGTCATTATCATTATTATCATAATTTTCAGTACAAGTTTAAGCCGCTCCAGACATTTTTGCTTTTCTACCTCCTTCCTTTTCCATAATTGTAACATTATTTCCTTATCGTTATTGCCTTATTTAAATATTATTACAAACTTAAACGATATTTCCTGCACATTTGTATTTTTCACACAAATGCTTAAACAATTATAATTATTAAATTTAAACTCTAAATACAAATTTACATGAATTAGATCAATAAAAAATGGACATAGTAATCCGTATCTATTCATTAATAAGAATAACATTTTCTTCTAATTAATTTTATATAGCCGGAGTTAGTCTCGACCTAATCAAATCTTTATTAAAAGGGTACACTTTCTCCATTAAAAGGCTTTTTAGCTTATAAGAATGGAATGATCTGTTAGAAGCACGAACTCCTGTAGACCAAACCCAGTACCGTTACGATATTTAATCGTGTGGGAAATCTACTCATTGTGGATATAATGTTTCTATTCAGCACCCTGTTTTAAAAATCATGGATACTCCACTGAATTATCTCACTGACTAAATTATAATTCAGATATTTATGTTCACTGATATCAGAAAAATGTAGATGCGATGTGCAGATAAGAACCAGAATTGGAATAGCGAAAGATGATTTAACAAGAGAAGACAGTGGTTACTGACAAATAGAATGGACAGGAAAAAAGATTAAGCTTAACGCACTTGTATGGAGTGCAGCTTTATAAGGGTCTGAAACTTGGACAAAGATAAAAAATGAAATAGACTGGAATTAATGAGCACATGGAGAAGGATGGAGAAATTCAATGAAAGACAAACTATCAACTGAACAAGTACCGTACTAGAGAGGATAAACGACAGAAAGAAGAAATGGATCGAACATTCACCTAGATAATGATGATGGTGATGATGAATTAAAATTGTAACTAATTAACTACAATTTTGATTGTGTAATATGATAATGTGATTAGGTAACGTGTGTTGGCATGCGAAATCGAATGAACCATTCACTCTTTCTTCTTGCATTTCTCATTTACTTTACTTTTCAAAGGGAATACGAAAGTCAAATGTGTAACTTCTACCATTTAGGAATTCCTCCATGCTTGTTCCAAGGAAATCCTAAATTATGTTCCAGTTTTGAAAACAAATTGTCTTATGCTATTATTTATAAATTTAGATAGATGAAAGTATGAGAATACCATTTCTGGCCATCACGCAGTGAAATTAAATTTTTCTGGGTAGTGTTGACTCTCCTCTTTATTAGTCAGCCACAGGGAATTTCTGTCAAGGCCTCACTCTGCACTCCAAGCCCTATTAGTCTTACTATATGGTTACATATACTCCTCTATTGCCGCCACTCTCTCGTCATCCTGTTCATCATAATTATCATCGTCATTTTATAAGTAACAAACGAAATTTTTAAAAAAGAATTGTATAATTATGATTAAATAATTCAATTGCTCGGGGCCGCTAAACTTTTAAAAATAACAAATAGAGAAAAAAAATGAAAATTATATTAAAATTTTAAGTCTGAAAGTGCTATTTCTGGCCATGGTGCCATAATCATAAATTATTGTGTTAACTCAGCCCCAATCATAGTGAGGCTGAGGTGCTATAGTCCCTACTTCTGTGAAAATCCCTCCCGGGGCTTCTCTCTATTTAAAATTCCAGGATCCGCCACTAATGTGTTAGAGTGGGGGTGGACTAAAATCTGATGGAAATTGCCTTGGGAAAAATGTCACAGTGGAAAATTTTATGGGAAAATAGCCAGGGAGAGGGGTCCGGGGGTAAAATGTCTGGGAAAACAGCCTGTTCCCTATTATTTTTAATGTATCATAAGAAGAAATAAGTAAAAATTGTAGATCAAAAGTAACATATTATCATTTTTATTAATATTTGGTCTCAATATTTACCAAGGAATATATATTTACTCTATTGTCATTTATTTTTTCAATTCTTTGGATAGCTGATTAGTCTGTCATTGCATAATTTGTAAAGAATATTTAATGTAACAATATTTATTTGTATATCGTAATTTGTAGTTTTTCTAATATGTTTAATATTTTATCTTCAAGCCACGAGTGCACCAACACCCACCTTGCAACAGGCAAGGAAATGATTTTAAAATTCATAAACCCCTCCTGTTACTTAGTTTTGGTGATGTTGCAAAGTTAAGGTATTTAATACCAGTAGACAGACAGAAAAACAGAATCAAATTTGTGGCCCCGTAACATTTAACAGAGTTACTATATATATCGTCTAATTATAAATTTTATTTGCATTAATTACATTTTATAATATAATAAATAAAGTATTGATTATCATAGGAATAATAGTCAGATATAAAATTTTCAAAAATATCAAAATATTAGAAACTTTGTCTACTTTAACTACTTAAGTTATTCGATTTAATTTATACTTGTATATAGTTATATTGTTCTTGTTCGTTATATTTTTCAGGAAACACTTACTGAGCGCAGATTATTGTGGGATTCAGTAGGAACCTGTCGACATGAAGCAGATGAATGATGTGGTCCAGACTGCGATTTGTTGGACGCTTGCTAAGAATAAATAAAACAGATGAACTCGGCAAACCAAGGCATACATTTATATAAACTGTACAGCGTGAATAAGCACCCGGGCGCTTAAACTATTTTTTTTTGCACTTTCTGAGGGGAGCTTATTCAAACGGGGGAGGGGGGGCTTGTTTAAACGGGGCGCTTATGAAAACAGAATGGAAATTGAGGGGGAGCTTATGGAAATAGATGAAAATCGATGGGTTCTTATGGGAACTTATTTAATTCAAGGAGGCAATTTTTGAATGAACAATTATTATAAAAGAACATTACGAATGGTGATGTGGCGGAAAGATAATCCTTCAGAGAACATGACAAGAATGCTGTGAATATTTGCATAACAGCAGAATAGCAGATGCAATTAGTAGTGGTGGGTATGGCTAGTTTGATGACCATCGGCCGATTGGGATTAACAGGATGGCAGGATCATTGCAGGTTCTTGGAAACTCAGATGAGAATGTGCTAAAGGTGCAAATTGTCATAAAAAGAAAAAGAGGAGTTGGACTTGGCCTAGACAAATATAGGCTATAAGAAGAGGAAATTTGGAAATATATTGTCTGTCCAGAATCGGAGCTCTCATCTGTCCATAAGAAATATCCTTATTTTCATATCTTGACCTAAGAAGAATGTGATTCCACCTTTGCAGCTCAAATCATGCCAACAAAAGTCCCAGGATTGATTGGATTGTTGACTTCTTAAAAAGAAAATCTTATAATATTAGTGAGGGGCGCTTATTCAAACGGTACTTATATTTTACTTACATATGAAACAAAGATAATGTTATTCAAAGTTTCAACAACTCAAGAAAAAGGCTTAGGAACGGTCGGAGGCCCAAGAAAGCAGTGGCGTATCGACGGGGCTTGGAGCACACGTCCCAAAACATGTTTTCTCCACCGCTGAATATTTGCTGATTAAAAGAAAATCAATCAAGAATGCAAACATCGTCTATCCCCTTATGTTGCTAGGTAATTCCCCCTCACTTAATCAACATAATACTGTATATGTTTATATAATCGGTACCGTAATATAATTTCATCCCCACCCCGTACCTCCATATAACTTTCGCCCCTCCCCTATCATGCTCTATGTCAATTACCCTTATATTATACGCAATTGCAAGAAAGCCAAATTGAATATGAAACAAAGATAATGTTATTCAAAGTTTCAAAGTAGTTTATTCAGTATAATTTTATTGATTGGTCAATTGTTCAAAGATGTTTAGATTAGTATAGTAAAGTACTGAAGGCTTAAAGGTAAAAGTAGGTACCCATTTCTTGCATCGTAATTCCAACTGGATAAATTATTATGAAGTAACACTGTCAACTGGGTCAACGGCTTCTCTGTCTCCCACTCGGCGCTACTGGGAGCAAAAATATAAATTGCTGTCAGTGTGCGTATGTCTGAAACTGTAATACTTGCTTTTGATATGTGTTTTACAGATCAACTGACGACCACGAGAATACCAACACGTTTATTGTTTTTGTTTACATATTTTAATGTTGAAGTTAGCGAGTTTTTTTATACATTGATACCGTCACACATGAAATGATTATATATTACAGATATGAAAATATAAATAAGGAACAACAACTTAATATAATAATGTTTATATAATCTGTTAATTTAAAGGCTACATTACCGGGTATCAATTAGCGAACACGATTGTAAGATCTCAAACCATAGACGTTATTTCTAAATCTGGATTGTTAAGCCGGGCACTCAAGCGCCCGACTATCGTCGGCTGACGCAATTCTATGAAGAACACAACGCGACGACGCGCGCATCATGTAACCCTCACAGGGAATGGAGTTGGATTAGTCAGCCGACCGTCGTACGATCGTCCTACGACGCTGTAAGTGCCCGGCTTAATATACTCCGAAAAAACGGATATTCGCATCACATCAGAGTATTTACATAATGTAAATTAGAAATTAACGGAAGTCGTATAGGCTTATGCCAACTTGTAACCGTACACATTCATTACAATAAACACAAATAGGAAGAACGACTAAACAATACATTATAGGCCTATATAAATAAAAAGAACATGTACGTGTGGTGTGTCATACCACGTAATAGTGTTAAAGACTATCATATTATTATAGTTAATATTATATCGAACCCGAGAGCTTCTGCTGCTATGTTATTC